ACTGACTGGAACTGATGCATTGCTGTAGCAGCGGAGAAGCAGGTCAGCTGTGCTGAGAGGTCCCGATTCCAGCTGCGAAGGCGTGTCAACGGCGAGGAGAAGAAATCTGAGAATCCTCTGGCAGGCTTCGTCGCCATAGCTGAAGCATCTTAACAGCCTCAAATCTTTTTTTGTTTGATGCGACAAGCTTTGCTCATCAGCATTTTGAAATTATCTGCCATTCTTCACCTCACCTGTTCACCTCTCAAGCTCTGTCAGGTTGGATGGGGCAGATGCACATTTTCCGGTTTCTCCAGAAATATTTGATTGGGTTCAATCCCAGGCTCTGGCTGGGCCACTCAAGGACATTCACACAGTTGTCTATAAGCCACTCTTGCTGTGTGCTTAGGGTCTTTGTCCTGTTTGGAAGGTGAACCTTCTGCCCAGTCTGAGGTTCTGAATGCTCTGGACTGGGTTTTCATTAAGGCTATCTCTATATTTTGCTGCACTGAGCGTTTCTTCTACTCTAACGAGTCCCTCAGTCCCTGCTGCTGAAAAACAGCGGAGAGACCTAAAAATGGCTGTCCACCAACGTTTACCATCCAACCTGACAGAAATCTGCAAAAATGTCAACAATTCTGTAAATAAAAAAAAAAAAATTAACTTAAATGATTTTAGCAAATGGCTGCAATATAACAACTGCACAGGTTGTTGCTGGGATCCTCTTCCACTCCTCCATAATGACATAACGGAACTGCTGGATAATAGACACATGGTGCTTTTCCACCTTCCGCTTGAGGATGCCCCACAGGTGCTCAGTAGGGTTCAGGTCTGGAGACATACTTGGCCACTCCATCACCTTCACCTTCAGCTTTCTCAGCAAGGCAGTTGTCATCTTGGCGGTGTGTTTGGGGTCGTTATTATGTTGGAAAACTGCCGTTCGGCCCAGTTTCTGAAAGGAGGGCATCATGTTCTGCTTCAGAATGTCATAGTACATGCTGGAATCCATGTTTCCCTCAATGAACCGCAGCTCCCCAGTACCAGCAGCACTCATGCAGCCCCAGACCTCGCCACACATGCTGGACACCATCTGAGCCAAACAAGTTTATCTTAGTCTCATCAGACCACAGGACATGGTTCCAGTAATTCATGCTCTTGGACAGGTTGTCTTCAGCAGACTGTTTGCGGGCTTTCTTGTGAGCCAACTTTAGAAGAGGCTTCTTTCTGGGACGACGGCCATGCAAACCGACTTGTTGCAGTGTGCGGTGTATGTTTGAGCACTGACAAGCTGACCTCCCGCTTCTGCAACCTCTAAAGCAATGCTGGCAGCACTCATGCGTCTGTTTTTTGAAGCCAGCTTCTGTGCCTGACGCACAGTACGAGGACTCAACTTCTTTGATCGACCCTTGTGAGGCCTGTTCTGAGTGGAACTCGTCTTAGAAAACCTCTGCATGACCCTGGCCACTGTACTGCAACTCAGTTTAAGGGTGTTACAGATCTTCTTATAGCCTAGGCCATCTTTGTGGAGAGCAACAATTCTAATTCTCAAATCCTCAGGGAGTTCTTTGCCATGAGGTGCCATGTTGAACATCCAGTGGTCAGTATGAGAGAATTGTACTCAACGCACCAAATTTTATCTGCTCTAATACAAGATACACAAATTTGTATGGTCCTGTCAAGCAGACAAAAACATGAACATGATGAATAGGACATGTGGCTTTGCATGGTTAAACGACATACAGCTGTTATCACTTAGGGTGTACTCACTTTTGTTGCCAGCTATTTTGACAATAATGGCTGTATGTTGAGTTATTTTCAGAGGACAGTAAATCTGTACTGCTATACAAGCAGCACATTGACTACTCTAAAATATATCCAAGTTTAATTTCTATAGTATTGTCCCTTGAGAGATATACTAAAATGGTTGCTGAAAAGTGAGGGGTGTACTCACTTTTGTGAGATACTGTATATAATGTTTGTAAGCATTTTGCTTTACCGGCATTTTAGCACATTATTTCTGAATGTAGCCTAATAATAAAATGCGATGTGAACCTACCCGACTTATGTTTTTTTTCCTCTCAAAAGACTATTTTATAAGAGTAGCATTTTTTTAACAATGCAGAAAACCTTTTTAAATATCTTAAAAAATACTTTAATGTCTTTAAAGTGTTAACAGATTTTTTTCCTTTTGTTTAGTAGCCTATAATTTGGCCAAAATCTAGAAAAGATGATGCTGTATTGGCTGTGACTAAGCGCAGCAGGGTTAAGACACCAGGGCCCGTATTTATCAAGCCTCTGAGAATTACTCTCAAGAACGCTGCTAAGAATTGACTTAAGTGTAAAAAACTTCTTGGCTCAAGCTGCTCTTAAAAGTTAGTTATCAAGCATCTCGTAATTTAAGCGAAGTGTAGGACTAAATCTTAAGTTTCAGTCTTAGAGTTGATTCACAACACTTTGCTGTGCCACAAACGGGATTTTGGATGACGAAATATGCATAGACCAATCACTGAATAGATTTCCTTATTTAAGAATATTCTCAGATAAATTCTCATTGAATGGTTAAATTCCTAATAGGAGTTTACATTCAACACACATTTGACAATAAAGAGTTTTCAAGAGAATACATTAGTATTTAAGGAAACAAATCGTCATCACAACCTTCAATTTAGGGTTGTGATGAAGATATTGTGTATCGACGATAGTTTGTGAGATACTGTATATAATGTTTGTAAGCATTTTGCTTTACCGGCATTTTAGCACATTATTTCTGAATGTAGCCTAATAATAAAATGCGATGTGAACCTACCCGACTTATGTTTTTTTTCCTCTCAAAAGACTATTTTATAAGAGTAGCATTTTTTTAACAATGCAGAAAACCTTTTTAAATATCTTAAAAAATACTTTAATGTCTTTAAAGTGTTAACAGATTTTTTTCCTTTTGTTTAGTAGCCTATAATTTGGCCAAAATCTAGAAAAGATGATGCTGTATTGGCTGTGACTAAGCGCAGCAGGGTTAAGACACCAGGGCCCGTATTTATCAAGCCTCTGAGAATTACTCTCAAGAACGCTGCTAAGAATTGACTTAAGTGTAAAAAACTTCTTGGCTCAAGCTGCTCTTAAAAGTTAGTTATCAAGCATCTCGTAATTTAAGCGAAGTGTAGGACTAAATCTTAAGTTTCAGTCTTAGAGTTGATTCACAACACTTTGCTGTGCCACAAACGGGATTTTGGATGACGAAATATGCATAGACCAATCACTGAATAGATTTCCTTATTTAAGAATATTCTCAGATAAATTCTCATTGAATGGTTAAATTCCTAATAGGAGTTTACATTCAACACACATTTGACAATAAAGAGTTTTCAAGAGAATACATTAGTATTTAAGGAAACAAATCGTCATCACAACCTTCAATTTAGGGTTGTGATGAAGATATTGTGTATCGACGATAGTCAGAGATATCACCTGTTGCTGATTACTTTGACGACAGCAAGACGATTATTATCATTATTATCCATCAAAAATGTAGGCGCCTATCTTTAGTGATGCAGCGCGGAGAGTTAGAAACTTGCCGCAGCGCAGCTGGTGAGTAGCCGTGATCAGCTCCGGTGGCTGTGTCGGAGCCGTAACGCGCCGCAGACGTGTGCAGTGTAAATAAGGGTTAAGAGATTTATTCATGATACAGTGTAGGTAGCTTCACTGATTATAACGGGAGTGTTTTTAAAGAGCATATAATACTCGTGCTAGACTGAAGTCAGTTATGATATTCTTTGGTAATATAAATATTCTTTGCTCGTTTTCTTTTTGAATAACTGAGGAAATGTAACTGTTTTATTAACTGCTTGACGTCAAACATTTCAAGAACATTCTTCCTCTTCTGAAAGATTTGCGCATGTCTCTGTCTCCTCAGCACCATCACAAGCCCCTACTGGCAACTCCTAACCACTTGAGAGACCTCTAGAGCTGTCTTAAATAACTGGGAGAGTAAGAGTGATTCTTAGCTTTAATAAATTTGATAACTTGCTTTTATGCTTAAGTTTGAAAGTAGGAGTAAATTTAATGAATTCTCAGCACTTAAGACTAAAATGGCACTTTGAGAAGCTTGATAAATACGGAACCTGATATCTTCCTGTTTTTTTTTTTTTTTTTTAGTAGAAAACGCTGTAATTTATTATTATTATTGTTATTATTATTATTATAGGCAAAGAAAAAGTAAAAAAAACGATGATAATAATACAGAGGAATACAGGAACAGAAACATTAAAATATTGATTCTGCTCGGAGTGAACTGATTGGATTTTTTAGAAGCCCAAATTGGCTACTAAGTGGATGAACAGCATGAAGTAACGTTTTCTCACTATTTGTCTTTTGAAGTGCTGGATGCTATTATGTTGCATTTAAAATGTAATTAAGTATGTATCTATGAGATGTGCAGTAATTTAGCATTCTAGCATGGAAATATTCCTTTGCCCTTCACTCTCAGTGTTGACCTTGAAGAATCTGGAGGGATTCTTGAAAAAAAAAATCATTTGGCATGTTTTGCTGTCATGCCAAATGAATGTACTTATGTACACCAAATGAAATGTATTTGTGTTCCATTGTGTTTGTGTCATTTTCAGAAAATAAGCTACATCAAATCTGGATACTTAAAGCCATTTAACTTTTGTTGGTTCTTTTTTCTAAGTGCCTCATGTTCATTTTGTAATCCCTTTTTAAATGAAAATAGTTTCCCCCATCTGCTTCACTATTGTTCTCTTTTGTTAAAAGCAGAATGAACACAATGTGCATGTCAGCACTGCTGCTTTGTATATTGTTCTGTGTTTATGATGTATTATACTTGGTTTTGACAGCTGCAGTCGCTCTAGACTTGTTTCTAACATAAATTCACTGTCACATATCATTCATATTGAAGCTTACAGTATTTTTTCATCATTCTCTATTGTTAGTCCTCTAATTACTTTGAAAAAACAAATGCAACATCAATTTCAATCACTGTTTCATACTGTGTTCCCCTCTCTCAGTTTCAGCACCCCACAGATCAGTACCCCCCTCTGAAATTTGGAACGGTCCCTAACGGAAGCACAGAGAAAAACATCCGCAGTAACTATCCAGACATGCACCAGTACATGATCAAATACAACCAGAGAAGTGTGGAGGATGCCATCTCCCACCTCAAGACTGGGTCTGTGCTGGATTTTTTACTCTCACTGACTTCCTATATTGTTTCTCATGCCGTTTTGTTTTGTATTATGCTTTTTAGTTTTGATGGTGCATAGATAGTTCTTGTTTGTAATTTTGAAAATTATTACATAGTTTTTCAGCATTTAAAATCACTAACTTCCTTGGCTTTTATCAGCTAAGCAATAATATGAAAAATAAAGTTAAATTGTTAAATAATTCTGTTTAGATTTGATTTGCATTGGTTGTAAAGCACATTTATAGTTCAAGGGATCAAGTGATAGTGTTTTGTAAGGTCTTTATTTTGCCACTAAAGCTATATAATATATGTAGTATATATTCAAGACAAAGAAAATGTCTATCCTACATTTAATTTCTTTTGGCCCAGTTTGCTCAAAAATCTACAACTCCAAAATGTCAGATTTTCATAAAATGACAGTTGGACAGTAGGTGAGGCTGTAAGGTATTAAAATGAAAATATGAAAATGGTTGTGTCTCTAATCTCTAATTGTCCTGAAAAACTGACCATCTGAAAAAAAAATTATATCTTGGGGGAAAAAAGTAATTAAACAAGTTCTAGCAATGCTTAAAGGGGTCATATGATGCTTTTTTAAAATTTATTATTTTGTGTATTTGGTGTAACAGAATATGTTGACATGCTTTAATGTTCAAAAAACACATTATTTTTCAAATACTGTACATTATTGTAGGTCCTCTATGCCCCGCCTCTCTCAAACGCTTAGTTTTCTACAAAGTCCCTCCTTCCGACAAGCGCAGTCTGCTCTGATTGGCCAGCTGACCCAGTGAATTGTGATTGGCCGAACACCGCAAGCACTCGTCGGAAATGTAACTCCCCTTACCATAAACGCGAGCTTCATCTTTCAAAATAAATGTAAAGACAGTAAATAATGTCATTAGTTTTACCATCAGTTCAAGCCTGAAAAGGGAACAGAGTCGGGTGACAGACACAGTGATGAAGCTGGTATGTGTTTGCAGTACACAAGCCACGGTTAAGACAGCTGACTCCACTGTGATGTGACCCCTCTCTCTCTCTCTCTATCACTCTCGCTCTCGCTCTCGCTCTCGCTCTCTCTCTCTCTCTCTGGGGGCGTGTTAGAACGAGCCGTTTTAGGGGGGCGTGGCAGAGTCTTAACTTTGATAAAGAATATCTCTTTGGTTTTGAGACTTTAGTCTTTGCAACTTCAGGGATCTTATCTATGCACAATCAGCTTGTAACACTCCAAAGAGAAAGGAAAATTTGAAATCGCATCATATGACCCCTTTAAAACTTAATAATTGCTGCTTTCATCTATATTTTAAGTTTAGCATTCATTCCTTTGCCAGATCATTTATGCAGTTTTTCAGTTAACGGAAACACTTGTGTTGTGCATTTAGTTTCTGTCTCTGTAATAGTTTTCATAACAACAATAATAACCTTGTTTCCAACATGTTATCTAACATCTCTCGCGCTTCCACTCTCTTCCTTACACCTCCCAGCCCCATGTTACTCTGACAAACAGGAGTTCCTTCACGATGTGTTTGCATCTCCTGCATGTGTTTGTTTTCCCTCCTCCCACACTTCCTCTCTCAACCCTGTACACCTCACACACTCTTCCTCTATTTATCATGAGTTGTAAATCCACACCATGGTTTTCCTGAGCCTGTAGTCCTTATCCATTTTTAGCAAAAAACGTGATAATATAATGCCGGCACACGGCAAATTTCCTCTCTGCTCTCTTTCTGTCTGTCACCCTACTCCATCTCACGCTCTGTCTCCTCTGAATCTGACTCTTCCTGTCTGTATTTGCAGTAAACTGGATGCCTTAATCTATGATGCGGCTGTATTAAACTACATGGCTCGTAAAGATGAAGGCTGTAAAGTAATGACCATCGGCTCAGGGAAAGTATTCGCCACGACTGGTTATGGCATCGCCCTAATCAAGAACTCCCGCTGGAAACGGCCATTGGACCTGGCCTTACTGCAGCTGGTGGGCGACGGTGAGAGTCTGAAGGTTATGCAGTATCAAAGTGCTAAAATTAGGGGAATGTATATTAGTGCATTTATGCTGTTGGGCTGGAGAAGATAAAAGCCTTTGGGAGATTAAAGTCTTTTTATGCATATTTAACAAGACTTCATTCATTAGCCTGTACTGCTAGCTTTAAGCCATCTTCCCAGCCATCTTGGTGTAATCCAGTTTCCTTGACATGATGCAATATGTATCTTTGTTGTCTAGCAGGTGACATTTTTCTTTGTGCTAGCAGGCTGCTTACTGATTTAAAGGAGATGATAGCAACCTACTGATGCATAAAAGAGATGGGCATGTATCAAAGATTCAGTCTTGGGAATGACAGAAGTGGTGTGCGGGAGAGAGAAATAGAGAAAGAAAGACTGTGTTGTGTTCCAAAACCCATTGAGCTGCCTAAGAGGCAGGGTTTTAAAGCATCAAGCTGTGTCAATTGCGCTGTGTTTTTTGTTTGTTTGTTTGTTTTTTAGAAAAATCTAATTATTTGAATAGGGATCTACGTGATCAGGAATTTTGTGTGAGGTTGAAAAAGTCACCCATGCATATTTTCCAGCTGGTTCAAGTTGTTCAAGGCAACATCACATGTACCTTTATAAGAAAGAACATTTTAGAATGCACTGCAACAAGCTTAGTGAAGAAATTCAACATGACGCACAAGGCAGGAGAAATGTTGATTATAAATACCCTTATTCAACTTTCATTTGCTGAAAAGTATCAATAAAAATACTTAAAGGGATAGTTCACCCCACAATGAAAATTCCCTCATGTCGCTCCAAACCTGTAAGACCTTTGTTCATCTTCGGAACACAAGCTATTATTGATGAAAACCGAGAGCTTTCTGACCCTGCATAGACAGCAATGCAACTGAAACATTCAAGGCCCAGAAAGGTAGTAAGGACATGTTAAAATAGTCCATGCAACATCAGTGGTTCAACCCTAATTTTCTGAAGCTACGAGGATACTTTTTGTGTGCAAAGAAAACAAAAATAAAGACTTTATTCAACAATTTTTTCTCCTCCGTGTCAGTCTTCAACGCGCGTTCATGAGAGTAGACTGTTATTTTTGTTAAAGCATTAATTTTGCTTTCTTTGCGCACAAAAAGTATTCTCGTAGGTTCATAACATTACGGTTCAACCACAGATGTCACATGGACTATTTTAACAATGTCCTTACTACCTTTCTGCGCCTTGAACGTGTCAGTTACGTTGCTGTCTATGCAAGGTCAGAAAGCTCTCAGTTTTCATCAAAAATATCTTAATTTGTGTTTTGAATGACGGTCTTACAGGTTTGGAATGACATGAGGGTGAGTAATTAATGTAATACTTTTAATTTTTGGGTGAACTATCCCTTTAAAATTTATCATTTTATCATTGTGTGCTGTGTATTGTTATTCTTATTAGAGCATCAAATCATTAGCTTAGCAACATGCTAACAGCAAACTATTGTGAGTTGTTTCTCCTGTGCTGTTTGTATGGTGTACACAAAGCATTCTATGACAGTTGGGATGATGTCTTTGAAGGCAGTTGCCTGTGTAGGCAGCAGCTCACTAGGTTTTGGAACCGAGCTATTGTGTGCTATGAGTGAGATGTGTGTATTGAGTGACTGTCCATTCTCACACTCCTTAGAGGATTAGCTGTTACGGATTTGCGATGTCAGAGTGGAACGCATCTGATTCAAATGTGCTTGTCCAAGTACTAATTCTTTAATTGTCATTTATACACCCTCCTCCTTGCCTTCTCCCAACACACACATACACAAACACATATACGCACTAGCTATCTCACAGTGTTTTGTTTCAACCGGGTGGTTTATTTGATTGCTGTTTAAATCCTCTTTGGCTTTTGGTGCGTCAGAGAGAGAGAGACTGAAAGAATGTGTGTGTACGCCAGGTTTCCACAGTGAGATCGTCACACTGGTGCCAGGTTCCATTAGCTAACACCACCGTTTAACAGCTGGGAGGCTTTACATGTGAAATGAACAGTGACTTTTTTTTTATTCATCTGGTGGTTGTTGAGGCGTGGGTGATTTATCTGATGTTATTTTCTGAATTCTGTCCTTGTTTTAACTTTAAAGTGTTAAAAAGCATTGTGAGGTTTTGGGGGGATAATGAGCTACTATTATCAAAATATTTTAGTCTCGTTTAACAGATTTCTGCTATTATAGACCATTTCAATGCAGTGATGTCATTGACCCTGCTTGTCATGAAACTATTTTAAAACATTAACTGGAGGCGATTCAGTTGTAACTAACGTTTACAAGGCTATCATATCATGTTCTTATCAAAAAGTAGACCTTTTTGGATTCTCAGAAATTATGAAAAACAAAAATATTAAACCAGAAATGTAATAGGACCATTGCATTAGATTGTTATCGTTTACATCCCTCAAAATGGTTTATAATTGGCAGCACAACATGTAATCAGGTTGTTTCATTGGACAATCATGAAAGACCATGTCAGTGTTTTTGTTTGAGTGGGCAATAGATTGCACAAATGTTTGCTTCTTCTCTGCGTTAGAGTATTTGTGGAAGGCATATCAACATAACGTATGTCTTTTAAACACCGCAGGTAACCTTATTGGTCAGTGCCACGCAAAAAGCACTTCTTAACTGCTAAAAGCCTCTGTTATTTTATCTCAGGGCCAGCAGCTTTCTTTGCAGTGGTCATCTTGAATAGAAGTCCTCTCACCTACTAATAGGGATGTAACGATTCGCTCAACTCACGATTCGATTCGATTCACGATTTTGATTTCACGATTTGATTCGATTCACGATTTTTTTTAACAAAATGAGATTTAAGACAAATTATAAATTAAATGTGTCCTTTTATTATTGCTTGGACAAAATGCTGCACATTTCTTTGTGAAATTGAAATAACACTATAATAATATACTAATATAGCACTTCCATATTATTGCTCTTTTGTTGGTTTTGATTGCTTCTATTGTCCTCATTTGTAAGTCGCTTTGGATAAAAGTGTCTGCTAAATGACAAAATTTGAATATAATGTAAATGTAAATAACAAAACTAAATTGAAATTTTAAAACAAACCCCAAATCAAATAAATAAGTAACACAAATAGAATAAATATCTTCATATAAACAAAATAAGGCTTTGTCTGTGCTCTTTCCATTTAAAATTAGAGGCAACCACTGCATTTTAATCATGATGCAAACAAAGATGCTGCATACATGCAACATGAGTAGTTTTTAATCTAAATTAGATTGTATAATTTCGAAATTTGAAGCAAAAACAGAATGGTTTGACTTAAATTTTGTGAAACTATACATAAAAAATATCTGCATGAAACAGCAGAGGAGCTGAATGAGACAGATTCACTCTCTGCCAGCAGGTGGCGATTAAAGCGATTCCATGGTTTCCGCTGTAAACAAAGCAGCGCTGCACTTATGAACTTTTAATATGCATTATACAGAGGCAAGATGAAAAGAAAAAATACCATCTAAACTTTTCTAAAGACAGTAAGTTCCCCTCAGACATACATTCATATAAACTCCTACCCCTAAATGAATGTTTAGCATCTCAGCCGATTTGAATCGTCACATGGTTAATCGTTACATCCCTACCTACTAACAATTCAGAGGACTTATTACAAGTGGTCAGAGATGCCGTGGCACTTCCAATCTGTTTATAAAAGTGTTGACCTTTAAGGCTGATCCAAGAGCAGTGTTTGCTTTAGCGTGATAGTGGTTTGGGTAAGGGCGGGATCAGAGGGGGCTGTACAGGGAACGGTGTTTGAGGTCACGCAGATGGCACAGACTGGCTGTCTGCCTGAGCTTAAAGACCTTGCTAAAGCATTAACTGTTAAAATGTGCCCAGTTAACCATGCCAGCCCTGAGCTCCGTTGCCAAACAGAAGCTGCTATAGCAAGAGCAAAAGTGTGAAAATATGTGTACGTGTGTTAGAATTTGTACTATACGTGTGGGTGTGTATTTGTAAAGCTGTGCAAGTGTGTGAACGGTGTCTGTGTGTTAGCATATACTGTAGCTGTGTGTGTATATGTATGTTCCCAGTATGACACACCTGCTGAGTTTGGCTGTGGTCAGTGAAGTGGTTTGCCAGAGCCACTGGCAGGAGTCAGAAGGAGGTGAATAGACAGTGTCAACAGAGTGAGGCAGAGCTCAGATCCGAGCCGGGCTCGTGCTGTTATCTGTTCAAGTCCCCTGTGGAATTCAGCCTGCGCTTCTTCGTCCTGCTTGACTGCATTTTCTTTTGTGAAATGCTTTATGTGATGTGTCTGCGGCATCTCATCTACATTGTGATTAATGCCCACAGGTTGCGCTTGCTGGATAGTTTGTTTTGATAGCATAAGAGACAGACGCCATAATTCAACCTTTGTGAGAACAACGCAACTGTCATTTACAGTGTGATGGGTGATGATGTGCTTTTATTATGTTACACAGCATTGTTTTGAGATGGCCCAAGCTGAGATAACGTGGTGCTGTTGGCCAGTTCTCATCAAAACAGTAAATGCTGCAGTACATGCCTCTATCTAGAAAGGTTTGGGGTAATTCACAAGCTCGTTTTTCCTGTAGATAGAAGGTGTGATTCTGATTTTGTCTTGAGTTTGCAGCAGACTTGACCATCTTCCGACACAATTAAATGATTATGATCTCACCCTTTCACCGTTCTGTCTCCCTGTCTGTCCTCTTGTTTTTCCACCCTCTGCCTATCACTCTGTTGCTCCTTCTATCTTATTTCATTTTCTTTTTTCTGTTCCATCTTTCACACCCTCATGCACACACTGAGACCAACATAAACAATGCACATATACTGTTGTTTCCCCCTGTTGCCATCTGTCTTCATCCCACTTTTTATGTTAACATCCCCCTCTCTGAATAGAATAGGTGCTTCTGCTATTTGTCATAATGACAAAGTCACTCTCTTCTTCTTTTCCACCAGCCTTTTACTTATTTCTCCACATTCTCTCATTTCCCATGATACAATGCAGCATTGAAAAGACAAAGAACTTTGCTCTCCATCCTTTTTTGTCTTCTCATTTACCCTCTGAGGAAAAGAGGATATGGGTAGATCATTACACAGGACCTAGCCTTTGCTAGCCTACAGGCCTCCAGCTGTCTTCCTCTTTCTTTCACTCTTTCAGGATTAACAGTCTGCTCCTTTTGATCAGCAACTAAACAGACCTTCACAGTAATGTTTTTTTTACCCACTGGGACCTGTTTAATAGACATCTGACCTGAAATGTTTTCAATATAGTACTCTAAAGATCTCAAAATAGCACCTGACTTACTATAGGTTTACACTCGTTTAGTATTAGCATCTGTTTCCTGCCTCAACAGGCATGTGGGAGAGGCAAGTCACTACCATACTGCATTCATACATGTTTTATTGATGCATCTGTGCAAAGTAGTTGTATCACTTATTAACAGAGAAAGCGAGTAATGCTAATGCCTTGTCTTTCTCTTCCCTTTCCACTCAGATGAGATTGAGATGCTAGAGCGTCTCTGGCTCTCAGGGATCTGTCATAATGATAAAATTGAGGTGATGAGCTCCAAACTAGACATAGACAACATGGCTGGTGTCTTCTACATGCTACTGGTGGCCATGGGCCTAAGTCTGCTGGTCTTCGCCTGGGAACACCTGGTTTACTGGAGGCTACGGCACTGCATGAGCAAAATGGGCCAGTCTGGCAAACTGGACTTCCTACTCGCCTTCAGCAGGGTGAGAGAGAGTGTGACGTGAGAGAGTGACTGATTAATAGTAACTAGAAATGTATTTGGGAGCATTTGGGTAAATTGAGAAGGACTGTGACATGGGCTATGCCTGTGGTATTACAGATAAGATGAGAGTGATGCTTATGTAATTGACACTGATTTGCCCATATTATCAGAATATGACTTATTTCAATATTATATCTTTGTTGTTTGTACTCTTAGGGAATGTATAGCTGCTGCAGTTTTGAAGATGAAACTGCACAAGGTGGGGCTAAAGTCACAGTTCCTGGCCACCATCATACTGCCATGGTTCCTGCTTCTTCCTCACATGTGGTCACTTCAGCTGTATCCACTTCGGCCATTGCCATGGTGCAGCAGCAGCAGCAACCACAACAGCCTCAACCTCCTCAGTCTTACAAAACACCTCTTCCTGGATCCCCTCCCACAATTGTTCATTCTGGAGCGGTCTTGGGTCCCACAAATACTCAACTTGTAGGAGCTCCACTACCATGCACTACTTTCTTACCCCGGCCTGATCGCAGGTTGGCGGTTGTGGACCGCTGGAGACTACCCAAAACCACTAGTGCCACAACCTCCATGGGTGTGAGAGGAGCTCTAGCAGAAACAGGACCCCTGCCTCAAAAGGTGCCACCTACCTGGGCAGGTGGTGGAGGTGCAGGTAGTGGTCTAGATGGATATAAGCGCTACTATGGACCTATTGATCCAGAGGGACTTGGGCCATGTGTGGACCAACAGACAGGCTCTCAAACTCCCAAAGCAGTCCCCAGAGCCCACCAACAACCCCCACCAACTAGTGTGGTTTTCTACCAGGAGAAGGGCATGGACCATGGCATGGGGAAGAAGGTGGGAGCGGGTACTGGTGGAGGGGGTCAGGGTAGAGGGGTTAAATCTCTGGGGACTCCCAGGCTTCCTCCTAAAGGCCAGGCCCCAGCCCCACTGACACCTAACCCCCCGCTGCAGCACCCCTCTCCCCCTCTCCCTTCATCTTTCTGGAGGAAACGGCGACCAAAAAAGCCCAAAGAACCTGGTGGCCCATTGTACGAGAACATCCTGCCACTGGGCCGGAGAGGTGGAGGCAGGGAAGCGAGTCGAAGACCGAGACCCTCTCCTCCTCTCCCCATCCCCGTGCCAGTCACACTTTCCCCAAGCTACACTCCTCCATCCCCCTCTCCCTCACTACCCTACACCTCCACATCATCCTCCTCATCCACCACCAGCTCCTCAACCACATCCTCAGCCACATCCTCACGCTCCACCTCTCCTTCATCCACTTCCACAGCTTCATCTCGTAGCACCAGAGACATAGAGGCTGAGGAAGAGGATGAGGAGGATTTGGATGAGCTGACCGAAGAGTCTAGTCTTCTGCAGGGCCAAAACAGAACCAGGGACCGAGAGCGGTCCATACTTTCCCCTAGATCTCTCACTCATGGACTTCCCCCTCCTATACCCCCACGCAAACCGTGGGGCACCTTTGGAGACAGAGAGCATAAGAAAGACAGAGAAAGAGAAAGGGGTGGCAGTCAACTAGCACAGCTTCAGGAATGGTGGGCAGGATGGGCAGAGAGAGAGAGGGACAGGGAGAGAAGTGGCGGAGCCCAGGGAGATACAGAAAGGAAAAGAGAGAGGAAACATAGGAAAGAGAGGGAAAAGGAGAAAAAGAAAAAGAAGAAGAAAAACAAAAAACGAAAAAAGAGGGAGGAGCGTGAAAGAGAAAGAGAAAGAGAAAGGAAGCGTCGTAAGGTGAAAAAGAAGAAAAAGAAGGCAATGAAAACAAAGAAGAAGAAGAAGGTGCCATCCGGCAAGCGGTCGGAGCCAGAGGAGGGTGATGTTGAGGCAGAGAGAGATGGAGAGGGGGATGGGGATAGAGAGGGAGAGTACTCTTCATTTTCCACTCAATATCGCAGTGGATTTGTGGACAAAGGCAGCCTTTCAGCTTGGGAGGGAGAGAGAGAAAGAGGGAGGAGAGATGGAGGTGAGGATGACAGGGATGAACGAGAGGATGAAAGTGGGGGAGGTAGAGGCAGAGAGATAAGACCCAAAAGCTCCCATTTACGACACCGACCATCCTGTAAACGCTATCCCAACCTCAACAAACTTCCCTCTTCAGTTAAATTCTGGGTCAGTGGAGGTGAAGCAGGTGGCACGGAGGCCTCCGGACCCTCCCCTCCCTCCTCTTTACATACACTCCTCTCCTCGTCCAAGAGACGGAGTAGTAGTGGGGTAGAGAGAGAGGAAGAAGGGAGAGTAGGAGAACGCAAGCCACTGCTTCTCCACTATGAAAGGGGGCGAGTTAACACAAGAGAAGGCTTGTCCTTCCATGAGTGGGACTCTGAGGATGAGGAGGAAGAAGGGGAAGAAGAGGAGAGAGAGAGAGAACGAGAAAGAGAGAGAATAGAGGAGAGAGTGCGACGGGCAGGGAGAGGTGCAGTGTCAGAGTCTGAACGGGATAGAATCAGAACAGAAGAAAGCTTTTCCGATGAAGGGTCCTCAGGAGAGTTTGGCCGTTTTGAGAGATACTGGGAAGGAACTGGAGCGGGTGGAGCTAGTGGAATTGGGGGTGGGGGCTGGTTTTTTGGAACGTATCCTGCTCGAGAGAAAGGTGGAAGTGTCAACAGTAGAGATGACTCTATTTTGGGTCGGGCAGAAGGATGGGGATTGGCAGGTGATTTTTGGGGTTCGGGTTCGGGTCCGGGGATTGGATGGGGATCTGGAGGAGGCAGTGGAGGGCTAGGTTCACAGTGGCCACCCCCTCCCACTTCCCTGCCGCCACCACGGCGCTACTGGTCAGTCGACAAACTACAGATGAAGGGTGAGAAGCGAAGCCGCAGTGGGTCAAAGAGCAAAGGTCAGAGGTCTCGGGAGAGAATGCAAGACGCAGCATCATGTACGTGTACACAGTATGGGCACGGTAGGCCCCACATACACCACAAACACAGCAGCACTCAGTCTCACAGCCAGGAGGATCTGCTTCCCCACTGCCACAGCTTCAGTGGAAGCTCTCGGCCCAAACCACCCCCTATACCTGACAAATCCAAATCCGGAAGCCAGTCCAACCTTAACTCCCAGCAAGCCCAGCTCTCCGAACACATACCCCATCCATCACCCTCCCCACCTCAGCCACTCCTGCCCTCATTGCCTCTACCTTCTGCTCCCAACTCCCTACCCATGCCCATTCCTCCACCTCCATCCTCTGCATCCATGTCCCCTCCACCTGTGCTCTCTCCCGGGGGTGCTTCCGGCTCCTCCCAGGCAGCCACCGCCAGTGCTAAGCTTCAGTACCAGAGACTTCGGTCTGTGCCCCAGCCAAGGCGATTCTACTCCCCACACCTGCCACTCAAAGCCAAGAGTTTGTGCTCACGTCGTGGTTCTGCCCATTTCTCCAGCCTAGAAAGTGAAGTATGACACGGGGCTTCGCTGCTGCACATGTATGTGAGCTCTACTGTGAAGCGCAGCTGGAGTGTGATGCACATACATGTGCCGCACCAAGACGAGGAAAACATCCACGACAGTGACCAGAGCAGCAAAGAAACAACAGTCAAAGCAGGAAATGGCTCAACAAATTCCACCACGGTCACAATGGATACTCCAGCCATGCTCCATCTTCGGTCTGAGTTGAGTATTACGATGTCCTCCGTGCTCCTCTCCTCCAATGAGAACAGTGGATAGCAAATGTCTGGGATTTTCTGTGAGTAATGATGTCATGTTTACACATATACACTCCCTCAAACAAGGAAAAGACATCTTTGCATCGTGCACATACGACATGTGACGACAGACATCAAATACTGCTGTGGCTCAAACTGACTATTCAGTTTATTTACAGACTCAGAATTAATCTATATTCAATCTGAATGCAGTCTTGGAGAGGCTCAGATGATCAGCATCAACCCACTGACTGAAAAAGTGTATCCATGGCAACCTGATGCACATAGATACAGACATGCCCTTTTTTTTCTTTTTGACACTTGCAACATTGATGTTATGCCATCACCCTTTGGCTTCCTCTTTCAAGGCCATGCTGGAAAATTATTAATTGAAATTTGACCTCAAAGTAAACAAGAGTAAACTATGTCTCTTTCTGTATTTCTGATTCCAAGCTAATCAGAACTTACATGGAGCCATTTCACTCATCAGAACTTTGGTTGTCCTATCAAAACTCCAATGCCACGGTGTCACTTTGACATCAAATAGAGATGACATTATGTTCTAAAGAGACATACTTCAAAAGAAAAACAATAAGAACACAAACAAAAATGTAGCAATTTTTCCTGTATAATTTTTTTCCCTTCAGGTTTTCTTTTCTTTTAATGCTGTTTATTGCTCTCACTGTGGTCGTATTTTAACAAAAGGGTAAACCAGCTGTGTCTGATGTTAAATAGTGGGATTATAGATGCAAGGGCAATTTTTACTAAGTTATTTATTTGTTTTGATATCAGAATTTTCAAATTGTCAAAACTAGTTCCACGGCCACTGCCCAGTACAATGGTCCTTTCTTTGCATACAAGCAATACTTGTCTTTCGTCAAACCATGATGGGTTGCAATATTTATGATTGGCACTAGATGGCTACATAATATTAAAAACTGTACATTAATGATTACAAATGGTGGACCATGAGTGGATCATGCCTGTTGTTTTGTTCCTTAATCATCACATGTTAGAACTGGAACAGACAGCTTACAGCGTTTCTGGGATGGTAAAGGGCATTGTTTAGAAGAGCTGAGGCTGTCATTGTCACTGATTGTGCATTTTCAAGTCAAGCCTACTTCCAGTGCAGAGTTGCATGTAATAAAGCACAAGTTGCTGACTCTTGTCAGTGCAAACGTTAACATATGATAATGAGGAGTCAAGGACAGACACAATACTGATCGATTTTGAGCCAAAAGCATCCTACACCATTTATTTTGGCGAAAGAATTGATGTCAGTCATACAGAGATTCAGTTTCTGAATACCTATTTGACGTCAGGCACCGCTTATTTGCCCATGTTGTAGTTGAATGTAGCTTTGAAATGATTTAGCAAAAAGTAGATATGCGGTAGATTTTGTAGCATTCTGGATGCAGTTACACATCACAAGAAGTGACAATTACACTTTTATTATGGGGGGCATAGAGGGCTTGTACATGTCGTCACAGATCAACAGATTCGATTGCCCTTTATTTGATACACCTGTTCACGCGGAAATAAGTTATGTTTGTCTCCCTTTCATATCTTGTTCATTTAAACAAGACCACTTGGGGAAGGTTCGCCATCATTTGCAGTGAAATTTAGGGCTTTTCCACTTTTTAAAGACCCACGTGTCATCGCATGAGTCAAGAAATAACAAGCTCAGGTATTGAATTGCGTGTTGTGTAAACCGAATCACACACAGCCGCTTAATCCCCTCGGTCAGCGTTTCTTCCAATGCCGGGAATACGGGTGCGTCAGCGGAAAGTCCACCGCACCCGGCATGGAAGCGTGGCGGGGGGCAGGGAGATGGATGTAGAATGATTGAATTAATATAGTGTGCCATGAGTACACTTGATCTGTCATTGACCCTTACTGAGTCAGAAGGCGCTAACACAGTATTCTGTGACTGCATGTACAGAACGGACTTATAATTCCCATGTAGCTTTTTTCTTGAAAACAAAAAAGAAATATTATCTCTATATACTGTTTTTGATAATGTATCATGTTATACTGTGAATTGACTTAGATATTTTATTGCCCATTGTATTCAGTTTTCATTGCCATCATATCATTTATCTATACAAAATATATATGTACAAATAAATATATACATATATATACAGACAGGTATATATAATAAGTTAAGTTTGATATACTTGGAGGAAGTGGTAGATATAGTTTTAAATGTTTTAGCTTTGTAGCAATTCTAGACTCTGGAGACATTTTTGAATTTTGATTCCTCCTATATGACTGTGAAAACATTAGTGCCTGTGAAGAAAAAACGAGAAACAAGTCTAATATCCTTTCTTCCATCCATCCTTCTATCCATCTTTTCATTATTTATAGCAAATCTTCACAATTACTCTGATACTACCTAAATAGCTTTCAGATCATTTGTGTTTTATGCCCTTTGCTCATGTTGTGTTGCGTCCTTATCGCTGCGTCTGTCCTTTTGACATTCTGCCATTCCAGCTTTCCATCTAGCCAGTTAGTATTCCATCCATCCATTCAATCACCCACCAGTCCATCAGTCTAACTGCTGATTTCTTCTTATTCTGTAGTTTTCTCGTGATCTTTTATCCACAGAACCATTGATTAGGCAACTTAAACAATGTACCTCTGGCATTTTCCTTTTTTAGATACTTTTTAATCTCTCTGTTTATCCCTCTGTATGTTCTCTCAGTTAGCAAAAAACAAAACCAGAAAAAAACAGAGACCAGTAGCTACTGTGTTCCTGCTCCTATTAGTTGATTATTGAAGATAATGATCAATTAAAGTTATGATGTAATTGATAAACGACTGAAAATGTGACTGAAGAGTTGTACCTGATGACCGTGACACTGTAGTGAGAGTCTGGGCTGTACTGTACACAACTCACTGTTACTGTGCTGACTAGATGGGGTAATGTGTGTAAACTAACTAAAATAATGTTGGCGTACTGACTCATGTTGGTTAGGAGGTGCATATCATAGTAGGCAATAGATAAGTCATCCCACCGCCAAACAAACACTCACCAAAGGCTTCATCCCCTCTCCTCGTCTGTTTAGACTGGTGACCTGATTTTGAAATAGACAAAATACAGGGTTGGATGTTGTTGCTAGAATTGTCATTGGTGGTCAATATTTGGCTGGGAAATTAAAGTCACATATTTTGTTAAGGGCTGGTCAGCTGCTATTTTAGATTCAGTGTGACTGTTTGTTTGCATGTTTGAGTGTCAGTACATGAGGGAAAAGCATAGTTTTCTTTTCTACACTGATGTAACCACACTGATGCATTATGTGTGTGCTTCTCATTTGCTATCAGTAATTCTAGCTATTTATTTCCTACACGGAATCTGTGCCCAAAATTCGGGAACGGCATCCTTTAAAAAGTTACGCACATCTGATACATCTTGTATGTTCATTTAAACTATTGTTCAAGTTTGGAGTCAGTGAGATTTTCATACTTTTATTCAGTATTGATCAAAAGGGACAGTAAAGGCATTTATAATGTTAGAAAATTCTATTTCAGATAAATGCTGCTGTTTTGAACTTTCATCAGAGATTCTCAGAGAATATTTAACTGTTTTCACTATTGGCAATAATAGAATAATTGTTTCTTGAGCACCAAATCAGCATACTGGAATGATTTCTGATGTAATGACTGCTGAAAATTCAGCTTTGCAATCGCAGTAATAAATTATATTTCAGAATAGAAAACAGTTATTAGGGGCCAAGCACCAAAGGTGCTTAGGCACCTATTGTGTCTGTTAGTTTTCTTCTTCTTCCGCTCTAGAAGTCTATGGCAGCCTATAGAACCACTTGCGGGAAAGTTATGAAATTTGGCACACAGATAGAGGACAGTCTCAATATTAACCATAGCACATTTGGAATGTGTATCTCAACTCTCTAGCACCACCAACAGGCCAAATTGCACTCATGTTTCTGCTAATAACTTTTGAAGTCTAAAAGCAAAAAAATTGTCCTTCTGATTCCATGGCTCATGCCGAGTCTAATGTACTCCAAAATTGACATTTCTATGGGTCAAGATTTTTCGCAATTTTGAATTTTCCAAAAAATCTCTTGACGGTTTGTCAAATTTTCACCAAATTTGGCTCAGATCATCTTCAGAGTATTCTAGCAAAAAGTTATCAAAAGCTTTCTGATATACCAGACCGTTTTTGTAAAGCACGTTAACGAATTTGATGAAGTTTGTGCAAAATGGATATAAAGCTATATCTTCACAACACTTTAGCGAATTCTGACCAAACTTGGTATGTGTTATAACAAGCATGACCTGCGGGCACATGAGTAGTTTCAGCATCTCCTACTGATCAAAAAATATTTAACAAATTGACATTTCTGTTTATAACTGCTGACTAGTGCTGCCAAAAATCACAAGATTGATCTCGTTAGATTTGGAATGGCACACTGAATCAAACAATACCTAATTTTCCTATGTCAGCCTTTTCTGGGCATCGGCCATTTTTAGTTTGTAGTAAAATAGTAAAAAAAAAGGGGGGGGGGGGGGGGGGGGGGAAGGTTGTGGGTTGGAGTCTCATACTGGCAGGGATTGTAGGTGGGGGGAGTGAATGTACAGCGCTCTCTCCCACCTTCAATACCACGACTGAGGTGCCCTTGAGCAAGGCACCGGACCCCCAACTGCTCCCCGGGCGCCACAGCAAAAAAAATGACTGCCCACTGCTCCGGGTGTGTGTTCACGGTGTGTGTGTTCACTGCTGTGTGTGTGCACTTTGGATGGGATAAATGCATACTGCAGAGTTTAGCTTCAACTCTAATCAAACAAACCTAAACCAGCTAATCAAGGTGTTCATGGCTACTGAATTACAGAACTTAAGTCTACTGGAAGGTAGCTCTCCAGGAGCAGGGGCAACCCTGGTCTTTACTGAGTAATTAAAGACAGCTCCTTAGCTCATTTTACCTCTGTTGTACATGACCCCTTTTACTGTATTTTTGATCAGATGAATGCAGCGTTGGTTAAGCATGAAGAGAAAAAGCATTAAAAACATTAAACCATTAAAAAAATGTTACTGACCTCAGACATTTGAACGGTAGTGTATTAAATGACAAGCTTTCAGCTACCAGTAGGCATTTAGAAGTTTTAATTTCACCTTTAAATTCAGTGCAAAAAAAAAAGTCCTCATATTCCATTTGTGCTTGCTAATGAGTGACGTAATAAATTTAAGGGTCTGTACTCAGTGAGTGAACGAGTAAGAGAAGGGAAACAGATTATACGCAGGTTTGTACTGCACATACTGTAAAGCTTTGTAAGTGTTTCATTATTTATGTGTTGATTGTGCATGTGTGAGAGAGTATGGTGCACATGCATTATGTATACACATCAATACAAAGTATCTGTCTCTCTTTTTCCTCCGTACCTCTCTACCAGATTATTCAGCCGTTTCCTCACTATTCTCTCACTCATTGGGCTGCTATAATACATAATTGACTCACTCAGGACAGACATACACACACACACTTGCTGCAGCTTCATGGATACCGAATCCTGCAGGTGCTCTAGAACTTTCTCTTGCTCTCTCTCCCCCTCAGGAGCTTGAGGCTCAGAGTTGCTCCAGGTAGCTGTTGGCACCATGATGTGAGGCATTACTTGACAGGCGGCTCGACGGATAAAAGTGCAGCACTTGCCTCTTGATCACAGCTGAGCAGAGATCTGTGTGTGTGTGTGTGCGTGCATGTGTGTTTGTGTGAAAGCAGGTCAGACCCTGTGATAGACAACTACATGCTTTACTTAGCCTACCCTTATTCCACAACTGCAGCTGTACACCAACAATAACGTCTGAGACTCAATGCTGGAAACTCACTCTAGGGTTGCTTTCTCATGCAATGAAAGTGCTTTTACATCTTACATGTTGTGAAACCCATATTTGAACAGGGTCCTCCATGTCACATCACATTCATAATCATGTAATCCCATCTCCCATTCAAACTGCAGAAGGAAAAGAATGAAATAATTACTGCTTCACTTTGTCTTAACAGCTAAAATTTTTATTTTTTTAGCATTTTATTATTATTGTTTTAAGACATATTTTGCTCACTATTTTTTTTACTTGGATTGATGTGGCATTGTGTAAACTGCACTGTAACTAAAGGCAATGTGAGTGTGTATGTGTGTGACGGGCATCAGTTGAGGATGTTTATTGCCTTTGTACTGTACAGTCCAGACAGAATTCCTCCACCAATCAGATTTTGTTTGGTTATGGCATCATGTCCTGGGAAGGGGTTTGAAGGGGTCAGTGCTAAGAATTGCTTCATAAAGAATACTCTCTTTAAAATACTCATTGCCTTTTCTTATTTATCTTGTAACTGTATTTGCGTGTGAACATGGGAAGGTTTGTTTTTGTGTGCGTCTGTGCAGATGAGAATGAGTGTCTTGCCTTCCACACTTGCCTGCGGGGGGGATAAAGTAAATTCTCTTGTATCTCGGTAAGAACTTTCTTCACTTTTTTGGTACGTGTCTCTCTGAACCTCCCCCCTCTCTCTTTCTTTGAGCGATGTGATCTGAGCTTTGATCTTTGAAGACCAGACCTGACCTTATATAAGCCACCATCTCTGTACGCAGAGCCATGATGAGCTGTGATCTTCCTCTCTTTGTCAGTTAACATGACAAATACAAACTGCACACAGTCATGCACAATATTAATAAAAATCCTTTTTTATGATACAAAAGATATTAATGAGTTATATGTGCAAGCCTACATGCTTATAATGGTCTTAAAACAATTTCTCTTTTCTAAAACTGAACTTAGTCTAGATAGATAGATGGGTAGTTAGATTATTAATATAATATAAAATCTTATTATTAGCTCTGTTCCAAAGTTGCAACTTTATATAAAAAGAAAATGAAATATTGCAAAAACAAACGAATAAAACAACCATCAACTTACAGAGAAACTGACGTAAAATAAAGGAAACAGAAGTTAGCCACTGGGGTCTTTTAGAAGCAAATTATTCAATAACATGACTTGAGAAAATCACATGACTTTTTTTCTGCATCTAGGAATTTATTCAGGGATTTATTTACCTTAGGCAAGCGTATAAATATTTTAAGCACATTTTGGGAATTTAATTCGCATCTTAGTGTTTCCATCCAGCATTTTTTTATGCAATATTTCAAAATTCACAATAAAACTTACTTGAAAGAAAACTTATTGCCT